AGTTTTCTATTTCAAAAAATAACGCAGCAGCTTAACTGGTGTTAGACACATAATATGGCAAAGAAATGAGTCAGACACTGGAAAACACAAATGTTTAAACAGAAAGAAGCAGGAAAGAAAGAGTTTTCAGTTGTTCTTGAAACTGTTAGTTGTATTATTTTGCCTTTTCCTTGTTTTTCAAATTCCTTAGGGGCATGAAGAGTACTTCCTGGGTGAATATTAACCAACTCAAACAGAAAATTAACTAGCCCATGTGTCTTGTTTCAACCAAAGGACTTTTTGTTTTCAGTAAAACTTGAAATTAACAGAAGGCCTCACCCTTCTTCCCGAATCTTTTAAGCCCTATATTCAGAAGAGAAACCCTAATACAGTTAATAGTTTTATATAAACTACACATGGCATTTAAACTTAGGGGGAAAAGAATTAGTACATAAATCTTACTGTAGTAATGATACAAAATAAAAAAAAAATAATAAGGTACCACACACCATACCCCAAAATGCATTATAAAAAATCTAAAGAATTATATTCACAAATATGAATCATAAACTAATTTTTAAGAGGGGCAAATATTTATGTGAGAATGAACTTTCCAAAGAACTTTTACAAACAAGTATAAACAATCTAGACAAAAATGAACAAAGTATATTACTGAATGTTATTTTGTGTACAATGATACGCATTAGATGGAGCCATATTTTTATGCCATTTTTAGTGGTCTAGTATATAATAGACCTTTTCATATGGCTGGTTCTAATACACTGATGTGAGACTGGTCAAAATTTCTCTAGGGATGCATGCAAATAAGACCCTCAGATATAATGTACACTTGGTTTCATTTATATATTGGTTTCATATATTTTTATATATTTTAAGGAAAATCAAGAAAAAGTTTAACAATGAGTCGACCCATGCCATATTAAAAATTAGATTTCAGAAAAGTCTAAAAGCCCAGCAACAAATGTAATGGTTACAGAAATAATAGAATATCTTTACAGTAGAAGTCCATGCAGCCAATAAAATCAGCAGGAGAAAATGTGATCACATTAGACCCTAGGAGGTGCTGCAAGGGAGCAGAAAATGTCTCCTTTTTCTTCTCAGTAACCTGTCTTCCACATTTTTCCCTTTCTGGTTACTCCTGTTCTAACACCATCTTACTCTACTGTGTGAGATACTATCTTACTAATACTGCTTCTATTTGTCCAAAGATAACAAAAGAATAGAAGCTGGTAAAGCAGGATAATCAACTTCAAATGGTTCACATGGGTCAGTTAGCAGGATAGATTCATAACTGAAGAGCCTGAAGGGAGTCTGTGATGGAAAGAGTATCTGGTGATGGTGAGATCAGCAACCCTGCATCAACAAAAAGTGGTGAGAGGCTCTACATGGAGTAATAAAGTTAAATCTTTGGAACTAGAGGCCAGAGCAGAAAGCACATTTATCTACTGTTCCTTGGACATTTATCTAAATGTTCCTTGGCCATGTGGATACAGTTTTCTATACTGTGATATTATCTTATTATCTAATAATAGTTTACATTATTCAATATTTTTCTTTCCGTGTCTAATGTGCTAGGCCATAGAAAGTAGCTTTTACAGGTTTTATTTTCCTTTCAAGTCAAGTAATTTTTAAGCATTTGAATCTATATTAAAAAAAATAGACATGGAACATTGGTCACTAATAAAGTATAATAATCATCATCATGGTAGTAAAAAATAGTGATAAAATTTGTAATCAGTTAAAGAGTGTATGTATTATGACATAGTGATAATTTTGGCAATTAAATATTATGGTTTTGTATTTAGGGTATGAAATTTTGAAGATTGAAAAAATAATCATTAACATTCTTTTATATTATTCCTTATTTGAATCACAATAAAGGATATAGTAAGATACCACTCAAGTAAGGACATATTTTTTTTTCCTAATAATATCATGGAATGTCCTTGAAAGCAAATATATGCCACAGAAATAATATGGCTCTAGCCTCACATCCACCATTAATATAATGTTAGAAGTGGGGGAGGGGGGTTAATATATCCTTTTAAGACACAATTAAATGTGAAAAGTTTTCAAAATGATTGTAAAATATCTTAAGTCCAACTTCATTTGTAACATCTCTGTGGGGAAAACAAAGCCAGTTTTCTTCATTCTTAGGTTTTCAGAAAGCACTGACTGAAATACCCTGTGGTGGCCCAGCTCCAACAAGGTGGACATAGAAGACCTTTCTCTGACCTACAACTCCTATGAAGTCTTTCCTCCTAAAAGATGAGGAAATTAGTCTCCACAAATTCAAATGGAACTGAGCAATGTAAAAAAAAAAAAAAAATTGTATCAGGGGCACCTGGGTGGCTTAGTCAGTTGCCCGGATGACTTTGGCTCAGATCATGATCTCACAGCTCCTGAGTCTGACCCCGCATAGGGCTCTGTAATGACAGCTTGGAGCCTGGAGCCTACTTGAGATTCTGTGTCTCCCTCACTCTCTGTCTCTCCCCCACTCACTCTCTCTCTCTCTCTCTCTCTCTCTCTCAAAAATAAATAAACATTTAAAGAAAAATTGTACCAGATGGAGTTAAATGGACAAAGAAGAGTTTCTTCAGGACTGTTGCAATAAAGAAGAGAGATTGAACTCAAATCTGAAACAAAAGGCAGGAGAGATTTTATTGTTATTTATTTATTTGTTTTAATTTTAGAGAGAGAAAGAGAGTGCATGAGCAGGGGAGAGGGGGGAAAAGGGAGAGAGGGACAGAGACAGAGAGATTGAGAGATAGTATCTCAAGCAGGCTCCACACTCAGCTTGGAGCCTATTGTGAGGCTGGATCCCACAACCCTGGGATCATGACCTGAGCTGAAATCAAGAGTCAGATGCTCAACCAACTGAGCCATCCAGGTGCCCCAAGGAAGGAGAGGTTTTAAGTGCTGGGGTGAGCTAGTGGAAAAGTACTGGAGGACATTAGGGACAAGAATGGTCAATGTGATTAGGTCACCCATGTTTGTTAATTGGTGCTTATTGGAATTATGCTCCTACTCTCCCACAGAGATTGGGAGACAGGGACACTTTTTTTGATGATTGCATTTCTTAGAGATGGCCTCCAGGTCCTTGAGAAAGACATTCGTGGGTTGTAGAAGATTGACATATCAAAGGAGCAGTGAAAGAATTTACAAATTACAAGTTTTCTAAAGTGAATGCTTTAAGAAAAGGCAGGTCAAGGGCCTATAGTCAGGAAGAAATCAGTCTACAGTTCAATCAGGCTGAGAGGAATGTCCAGGTGTTCTTGATTAGCTGCTTTATGTGACCTCCCCGCACACGGATGCTCAGCCTGCCAATTCACTGAGATGGAGAAATTATCCCATACAAGACAAGCAAGCCCAGAGTCAGAGGTGATGTATTCTGGCATGGTAAAGTGATTCCTAACTCCTTCTGCAGGCTACTCTATACTTGCCACGAAGCAAGATTAGGACTCAAATGTAACCTGAGTCCATATGGAATACCAACAACGAATGATGACCCTGTTAAGGGTTCAGAGTCAGGAAACCAAGATTCCACAAAGGCATCTAGTCTCACCACTGCCATCAACAAATGTTTTGCTTTGTTTTTCAAACTCAATGGTTCAAAGTAGAGACATTAGAAGCCACGTTCTTACTCCTTTTCCTTTTTTTCTGATTAACCATATAGAACACTGAAAGCAATTTTCTTATTTGGATTTTGACTTCAGAGTCTCCTAAATATTTTATTGAACAGGCATGAAATATTCTTTCTGCACTCAAACTGTTACTGAGAATTTGGCCTGTTTGTTCGTCCAAGGTCCCAACTGATATATGGATAAGCACTTAGCATCACAAAGAACTGTCTCCTGAGGAATGGGTTTTCTACTTTCAGATAAGAAGAGTTTTCCAATGCAGAGACAGCATACCTAGTTAAGCCTGCAATCTCTGGAGCCCCGTTCATGGATCAGAATCCCAGTGTTGACACCTTTGGCTGTGTATCCCAGAGCAAGTTACTTCACCATTCTGTGTCTGGTCCCTCCTATATTTAAAATAAGGTCTTCAGTAAAACTTACCCAACAGGGCTATTATGACAATAACATGAATTAATGCACATAAATCTTTGAATATGATAAACTGGTACATGATAAGATCTAAATTATGATACATAGCATCATTTCATTCTCTTTCTTCCTGCCTCCCTTCTATTATTCTTTCTCCTTCTACCTTTCTTCCCTTTTAATCTAGTTAGAAGGAAATTTAATACTTAATATAGCATCTATGCAGTCTCTTTTAGAAAAGAGTGCTTTTATAAAAGCACTGCTTAAAACAGTGCCTAACTCATAGTTGATGCTAAGTGAGTGATGTTATTATATTTTTTAAAGTTTTTATTTATTTATTTTGAGAGACAGAGAGTGGGGAAAGGGCAGAGAGGAAGACAGAGAGGAGATCCCAAGCAGGCTCCACACTGTCAGTGCAGAGCCCAACTCAGGGCTTGAATTCATGAAACTGTGAGTTTATGACCTAAGCTGAAGTCAGCCGCTTAACCGACTGAGCCACCCAGGAACCCTGATGTTATTTTTTTTCATCCTTCAAATTCATATTTCCCATTTGGAGTTGGGGTTTATTACTCATATTTTATGCATTGGTTCCTCAAGAATTGGTTCCCCAAGCATCTTATGAGTTAAAAATAAAATAAAGATAAAATAAACTATGGTAGAAAATAATCTTCCATGGGTTAAAAGTCACAAATATCTGTACAAGGTGCTATAAGAGGAAATAAAGCTCAGGCCCTGCCCTTTTGAAGTTCATACACTGGAAGACAACTTGATGAAAATGAACATAGTACCATAGTGTCACACATAAATGCTGAAGTTCTAGAAAATTTAAAGAAATAAGTTTTGGTAGTAAAGTGACTTATAAAATGTCTGTTATGAATCTATCTTTGATAATGGGATATGGGTCTACATGCTCAATTTTCTATAAATTCTTTTGAACAAAATAAATGGTTGAAGCTATTAATAAAGCATGAAAAAATTTATGATGGAAAGATAGGTTAAAGATATGGAATAAAACAGAGAACATGTAAAATCTAATTAGAGCCCTCCCAATAAATAATTTGTTATGAATTTTCAGGCAAGACACTTTCCCTCTTTGTACCTTAGTTTTGTGTCAAACAATGATAGCAACACCTGTTCTGCTTACCCAAAGGGATCTTATGAAGATCAAGTGAGACAATCAACTTGAAAACTTTGCTAAAACAACATACATATGCAGTATACTAAAGTAACTAGTAGTATATAGAAGATTGCATTTTCAAAATGTTAGAAATTAGTTGCAGTATCTTAAACATCTACAACTTGAAAGCAAACAGATGGATAAGAATAGCTCTTCGATGCCAAATTTAGCATGCTGTGTTTTCTTGTAGGTACGCCTGAGAGCTATATCTCAAAAGAAACTGCAGAAATAAAATATCAAGTGCCCAAGTAGCAAATGGATAAAAATAAACAAGCAAAGGAATAGAAAGATAAACCAAGTAGAGCATGAATATATTCATCAGATTCATGAATGTGTTGCTGCAACTACAAACTACAAGGTTCAAAGACAGCAGTACTATAGGGTTAAAAATCTTTGGGTCTGTTGCTTGATACTATCAAAGTAATTAACCTTAACCATCTCTGCCTTCTACATACTGATCCTTAATCACTTCCAAAATTGTGTTTCTTTCTCATTGGTATAATGGCCTTTCCACTTTTAGTTGATGAGAAAGTTTATAAATGCTTAGGCTTCTACTCTCAGATGAAATGATCTCTTACCTAATTGGTTATTTTTAAAGTAGCTCTTAACTACAACTGGTTCCTGCATCTAATTTCCATTCCATCAGTTTCTCTCTTCCCAATAGTTCCCTATTTATGTTCTATAGACTTTATTAACTTATAATCATTTTTATGATACCAAGTGGTTATTACACCTTTATGATATTTGTGGAATCAGCAGTGTTTGATTTTCTAGGTAATGAACTGCTAGAATTATAAAAATCATTAAAATTTTAATTGTGAAAATTATGAAATTACAAGACATTATTCCAGCAACAACAAAATACAGTCAGTTGTAAGGCACATGACATGTGGCTTAATTCTAAAGTCAAGGGAAAGAGGAAAAGGGCATTTGCTTACTCTATATATTTTGACATAAGGAAAGAAAACATGGCTATCAAAACACAGATGCTGTCATCTTACATAAATTATAAAACCAAAGTTTTTATAAATATTTTAAGTGGAAATTATGGTAGAAGGGAAAATGAACAGACAAGAATATAGGGAACATTTCTGAACTATAATGAGGGAGGGCCAGGTTAGAGAAGGTGGCTAGATTTTTGTATGTTCTACCCCAAGATTAAGCAAATGTCATAACTCAGATCCTAAAGGAGAGGTCCTACAAAAGCCTGATGGCTTAAGTGGAACTTTTTATGCTATGGTTAAACAGAAATAAAGATGTTAACAAAGGTTGTGAATTACTATTTTCATCAGCGCCAATCATGTTGCCTCATGCATCTAAGCCATAAGTTCACTATGAGATGGAAATTAACACACATAAGTAAAAATTACACCATGTGCTGTGGATCTAGGCAAAAGGTTTCTTTATTACCACATGACAATGGGAAATAAACCAAAATCAGAATATTTTTCTCTGGCAAATGATGTGCAACATGCATGCATGTAGGGCTATTAAGGATGCTAGGAATGGGAACAGTAAGCATGGAAAGAATACTGATGACTCCATGTCCTTTCAAAGTAACCCTGCCCTGAGACGCCTTCTCTTACAAAGAAAGTACAAATAAAGGTGAAAATTATTTCATAAAATTTAAGTAAGATTTTACTCACATATTTTCCTCATTAGAAAAACCTCAAAACAAAAAAACAAAACAGATGGGGTGGGGGTCAGGGAAATCTATGGTTAATGAAAGTAAAGAATCTAGGTTGACTTTGTGACCTACATGTATGATAATGGATGATGATGAAGAAGGAAATGATAAAATAGCTGGCACTTACTGAGTAGAAACTGAGTGCTTACTGTATGCCAGGCCCTCTGTGACATGGCTATTCTGCCATCCTCATAACTGCTGAGTATACCATCCAGCCTAGATTTTGTGAGGCCACTATAATGCTAACCTTCAAATTTGGTGAAAACCCATTTAAACATCTTTTGTTATTGTTGCAATGATAGATGGGCAGAACTATCATCTTAGGCACATGGATATTATTTTCCAGTTTTAAAAAAACAGTTAAAATTTTAAAAAATAGTAAATAAATACTTATTGCTTCTTTATCACTTTAACTTTGAGTAAGCCAGGAATTTGGCTATAATTCCACAGTAAGGTATAGTATCTCTCTGAGGTCACACGGGGCCTGTTTTTTTTTTTTTTCCACTCTAGTCTAATGGACTTCTAGTGGCCTCCCTAAGCATCTAACTACAGACAAAGTGAATTAGGCAACAGGGAAAACTCGGCTCATTAGGATCCAATGTGCTGTACTCAGAATTAAATTAAAGAGTCTCACCTCATCAAACTCAAGAATCTGCCATAACAGACACTGATGAACAAAGGCCATTGTATCACAACAGAAGATGGCTCCATCTTTTGGATTTGGAATGTATACACTATAAGTTCCTATTTTGATGCTTCTGGTCAATTCACAGGGTCAACAGAGTTTTTCAAAGGTTACACTCCAGAGTTTCATACGGCGTCCTGGGACTGGGACCTTCAACGTATTTCAATTTATTTCTCACCACGTTTCATCCAAATGCTTCTCTAAGTGTACCTCTGTGCTCAGACTGTAAAACAACGCAAGTAATGTGGGGGCTGAGAAAACAGTAGAAGTGAATTAGGGCATAGACATAGATGTTAAATTAGAGCTTGCCCAACACTCCATTTATTTCTGAAATAAATTGATATCACTAAAATCTAGAAAATGCTTTTTAGTTTTTATTTTGTAGTCATTGGCACAAAAGTGATAATTAAGGACATTGAATATAATCAACATAGCTAAGAGGAAAAATGACTAACTGCAGTTTTCAGATTATTTGTTAAAATAAAAAGCACTCAAACCACAGCAAGAGAGAATTCAAGAAAGCAAAACTGTTTTTATAAGAGAAAGAAATTGACCTGTTGGAAAGCAATGGCCCTGTTCATGGAGGGACTCTGTGAACGAGGGATTATTATTTTTTTTTTTAGACTTCACAAGCAAAACTAGAATAACTTGCAAACAATTCCAGCATCATTTCCAAAAATCTGACCATTGGATTTTTTTTAGCAGATAATCTATCCTAATGGGATAATGTTCTAAAGAAAATGCTTTTAGAAACATTGTTTTTCAAAGATACCTATAGTTTTGTTCATTTAAGCACAAAAATGGTCTTTTAACCTCTTTGTTTATAAGTGGTACAAAATGTTCTGTTTTGAAATTAACGTTTTGGTTGTGTTTGCTGACCTACATCAACCCTTTGCTCATGTCTCAGGTTCAGTAGGATACAGATCAATAAGAACCACATGTTAGATGCAATAGCTCCTAAACACATTGAGCTATGTCAACATGCTTGTCCCTACCTACACACAAAGTCTACAAACTGCATGTTTTGGTTTGTTTATTTTGGGTGTGTTAAATTAATTTGGGTGTCTGCTTTTAATTTTTTCTGTATTTCACTTTATGACTTGTTTTATATCATCTATAGTGGCCATGTAAACCAAGTATAAAACTTGCTAGAACATAAAAAAATAAGTTACCCAAGGAGCTCTCCTATCAGTAAGATAAACATGTAAGCTTTAGAGTACTGTGAACTCACAAGATAGTTAATATGGGCATAGATATATTTAGCAGGCTACACAATCTATCCAGAATAATTCTGATATATAAATTCCCAAATCAGAATTTAAGATCTGTAAAAGCCCTGAACCAAATACATTATCTGTGATCCTAATTCATCTTCTTTATGTTTTGTCCTGATTATCTTTTTCTATGTCTTGTATTCTTTTTTTCCTCTGATGAATATTGATTACTTATATAGGGATCCTTACTACTGAGAAAGTAATAAATCTTGGTTCACGAGTTTGGATGAAATCTACCTTAAGTACATTTCTTAAAGAGAAGAAGCTTTTTGTAATCTGCTATATGTTCAAAGTCACTGGTTGCCTATTACCAAAAAATTTATTCTCTCCATATTTGGGGAGTCTATGGTTCCACTCTATGCCCTTTATGTTCTCTGGCTAGTTGCTTCAGTACTCTGACTAGTACTCTGTGCTAATGAGAGGTATATTTTTATTACTTTTAGAGGGAATAGAATATTCATTTAAATTCTATTAATTCTAAAATAATATACAGAAAAATACTCTACTACTTCCTTTGTGAGATATCAAAGTTCACAATAGCTCAGATATTTTTACTCCTTAAGATTTCACATGCAATGTTTTCATGGGTTGCAAACGGACTTTGGGGAAGCAATTGTAGTAGGTGAAGGACTTTAAAAATTCCTGTTGTTCAGGTTTATCTCAATAGGCCACCTAGTAAACGAGTTTATACCAGGGAGTCATTGTAGTTATATGCAAGTAATGGACTTCTTATAATTTATAAGAAAATGAAAGAATATGACAGAGCATTAAAATATTGGAACTGAAAGAAAATTAAATTGTATAAACAGATTCTTTTTTTTAAAGATTTTATTTTTAAGTAATCTCTACAAACAATGTGGGTCTTAAACTCACAACCCCAAGGTCAAGAGTCACATGCTCTACCAACTGAGCCAGCCAGGTGCCCCTATAAACAGATTCTTAGTATAGCTTGCTAACTAGAAGAGACATAGCCACACAGGAGATGTGGTCAAATGCTTGGCAGTTTCCATTTCATTCATATTTATTGAGCATCTACTTATGTGCCAGGAACTATACTTAGGAATAATACATAGGATACAAAAATGGGTAAACCTTAATGCATGTTCTTAGAGATTACACAGAGGAGATAGAGGGATAGAACAC